CGTGATACTTCTAATGGAGCATCCACATAAAAGCGCCACATGAAGTTGAAGACATAGAACACTAATTGACTGATTCAATCTTATCTAACCGAATGTCATGCCATTTCGTGACGGTGGGAGGTCACTATTTGGGTAGGTAAATGAAAAACCCGAAAATGTATACTGCAGTGAAAACCGGTTTGTATGTTCAGTTCATTAATTCTGCCGAAGTAAAAATGATGTCGAAAACAAACACAGTGGCGAAAAATCGATCCTTGGTTGCAGTTAGATTAAAAGCGAATGGATTTCGGAGTCATTTAATAAGATTAATGTTACCAGTTTAATTTCATTTTTTTGTGACTGTATCATACGGTATCCAGGTGTTCTCAGCAGACAAATCATCCGCGATTCTACAATTGACAAACTCCGACACTTCTTAAACGAGCAACAAAAGGTCGATGCAAGTATGTGATTCCCATCATTTATACAAACCGTACTAGCGCAGATATCAAGTTTCCGTAGACTGAAGTACAGTGATTCATTTTATTTTCTAAACTTGTTAAGTTGCCACTAGGGAGGATCTGTCAGTCTTAAGAACAATTCATTTGCAGCAGGGAAACAGAGAAATACTGGTCATTGTTACAATACATTAATGAGGTAGAAATGACTGTGATCAGTTGAATGGGTGCACGAAATTAGTGGGCACTCTCTACTTTGTTGCATCCAAGAGAAATTTCATTTTCTAATATATTCCCACTTTTAGCAATCCCGAAACAAACGTATGCGTAATCAAGTAGGCTCCGATTAGGCAATTTTGAACCCTCTGTATGTCTTAATGATCGATGCTTACTCACTAGATCGTTGATTGATATACGAGTTGGACACTGTCCAACCAACAGGCAACGAAGTATTGAACCAAAGAAGTCTCACCTAGTGTGACGCATACATGACACTGCTCACTGATCGGATAATCTTTGTGAAGAAGGCATATATATGTCAACCGTCCTAGACGGTGTTATTTATCGGGCCGATGCGCAAACGCTTATTAATCAGAGTAAAGCAGAATGTACTGGAAACTACACGATGTCTCCATGGTAGCAGTCTGTCATACAATTATAATCCTTAAAACGAGGCATGGATGAATTATGCGTTATTCCAAATTTGGCTGTCCGATATCAATCACATGATTCCTCGAGGACGAACTATTTTTCTGATCATACGTATTGCCCCTCATCATGACAATGACACAGTATTATTGGATGTACAATAACCTAACTGCCTCTAAACTGTTCGATAGCGTTACAAACAATGAGCCAGGGTCCGATTCGGTTTTTAAACTGGTAGTCCCGGCAATACTTACAGGAATACATTTTGTATTTGGAGGAGGATGAGCAATCCAACATAAATGCAGCAATAGACATTCCCGAGGTGACGCATCTGGTCAAAACAGTCTGGATGCCTGTGCATCCAAACGCACTGATGAACGATTTCATAACAAATGGATTTCAACCCACATTGGTGGTGCAGCATAGGATAAATGCGATCTGATAACCTGTCTATTGATTAGCGTCTTTTATTTGAAGAAACCGTCTGTTAGTAATTGGGTGATGAGCAATTGGGTTATTTAAAAATGCACTGATTCCAAGTTTTAGTTCGCAGATAAACCCAACTCGAACTAATCGAAGCAGCTCAAAGATTATTGTGAAACAGCAAATGCACCGAGAGAAACGCAGAAGTCAATGGATCCATTCGAGCTGTATGTCTCGGCTAATGGATGGATTTCCGGCCGATTAATGGATATAAACAGCGCACTTGTTGATTTTTAACTGAAAGTCCAACGAAGACAAACGACGGTGTATGATTGTGCGACAAATCTGATTTCATTTCATTTATACAAGTATTTTATGCAACATTGTGAAAACACTCGAATGTTTTTATCCAGCCTTTGCGGTCATTTTAGTTACAATGGTCACCAAAGTCACGGCCACGTTTGCAGCAGTAAGATTAGTCTTGTTGATGAGAGCAGATTCCAGTTAACCGACTCTCGCAGTGACAGTTAAGCAAACGGGTCAGCAATAATAGCGATTTACCAAAGCGGTTAGAGGGGGGGGGGCATGGAGCAGAATGTTCAGTCGATTGATGACCACCATCGCACTGACGCGCAGTCTCGTATGGGTGAAAGATAATCTCAGTCGTCCTTGCTAGAGCACTGAAAAAATTGAACACGTTACTGGTCAAAGACCACCGCAACAATCACGACCTAGGTTTGACAGACTCCTTAACATGTATGAGTGCAAAAACGAAAGAACTAATACCTGGCGGAAGGCTCTAGGGGACTCTTTTCCCCGAGAAAAGAGAAGCTCGGAACACGGAAAAGAAGTCAATATGCTACGTACGTACTCAGTAAGCGAAATTTCCCTTATTTTGAAATATGTGGTTTCCGTCGAAGGCAGTTTTGCCAACCGATTAAGCATTAAATTACATATGTACTGTATCTGAACGGTCAATGGTGTCATAATTTGGAGATGCAATCACAGCCGAAACCATTGCAGATCATGAATGTCATGTGCGAAAGTGTGGTCCCGTTTACGTCGCAATTGACCGAGATAATATAAAGGATTGAAATTCGGTAGCTCAGTTAAAAATTGCCCTAACAAAAGGTGAGTATATTTAGAAAATTGAAATTGAAAAAGTGCCAAATGCCGTGTGCACTGAACTAATGTTAGTCTGAGAGTATCACGAAAGATACCAATTTCTTCGATATGCTAACAGAAAGTGCAACTGTGCATTCAAACTTTGCTTTAATTAAACAAGTAATGGAAATAACGCACTTTTCATCCATCCTGTTTAATTTTCAAAAAATATCCCAATCGATTTTTCGAACTGCTTAAAGACATATACCACTCACCAACATGAGATGTTGCTTTTTTGGAATTTACCAGTGTGAAAATTGAAAAGATAGCTTTCTTTAGTCAAAAATGAAGTTCCATTGGTGACTGGGCACCGTGAGGTGTTTTTTGTTCGTCACAGACTACCAAATGCATAAGAAGTAACAAGAGATTAGGAAATTTAAGAGTTGAGTGTAAGTTAATAGATGATGCGACGATCCACCAAAGCTAAGCGTTAGTTCGACTGCCAATGAGTGTACAACAAAGAGCAAGAAAGCAAAAAGAAGGGTGTCATCACTGTGTATGACTGAAGTTATATAACACCAAATGAAATCGATTAAGCTTCATGTGTACTGCTAGAGAGAATTTAATGAGCGCGCATGCGACACGGGAAGTATCTGACACCATTCGTATTAAAGAACAAAAAAGAAGCTCAAATAGAAAAAGCACGTAGTCCCTCTGACTACAGTGTTAAACAGCCACTCACCTGAGTGACATCAGTGGTTTGATCGGAGAAATTGAACCAAGCGAGCTTCAAGTGAACAGAACCAGTCTTCACATTTTCCAGCGGAGCCCACTGTTAATGATGACAGACAATTATTGATTCGTGAGAAAGAGGGCACACGTTTTTAGTTTAAATAGAATCACTGTCGCTTTCCTCGACACAGATAAATACAAGTTTGTGTAGAAGCCAAACGAACGCGTGGTACAGCAAAGAGAAAAGGAGATAACCTTCAAAAAGGTATACTGATAGGGATTCTTGATGATTTTGCTCGGTTTCCACCTTGTACCACAACTTTAGCAATAAGAATACAAGCACAGCGAACCAAAAAAAGAGGATAATAAGTAGCATCAACCCAGAAACAGGTGCACTTCGTATTGATGAAAAGGCAATGAATGGAAAACTATTTGAAAGTGGTAATGTTCACAACAATTATGTTAAAATTTCATGCACCAATGAGCAAATTCAACATTGCGCGAATTGGTCGAACCATTAATATCCATGGGAGTAATTGCTAGACAAATAAGACCACGGTCTGTGACCATAAGGGACTTACCATGTCTATTTCTCCACGATCGTAAACTGACTCCAAGGAAACAGATGTACTGAAGGGTGTACGGAAATATAGGAAAGTTTCTTCGGTCAGTAGCGGCAAGATTGAACCGTCTTTGAGGAGAATAAAACGAAAGTAGGCAGCTTGTTCAAATCTGACAGCTTGCTGCCAGAAAGTTTAGCGATCATTTATTTACAATGACAGTGCTGTAGACGAGTATGGAGGTTTCTTTATCAGGGATTTTTCTATTCATTGAAACTGCAACAATTATTGTTACAGTTTATGTTGTTCTATGAACCAGTCTGAATTATGAGGAAGAAAATTCATAGAAAAACATGTTTTTCCGTTCCTCATGAGAAAAGACTTATTGGCAGATGCTTTGAGATGCACATTTCATGAGAGCACTTCTTGGGGGGGGGGCACCATAAAGCCTTATCCCGTCCCGGGATTTGTGTAATCGAAAAATAAGTCCTAGCAGCAAGATAAGCGTGAATACCTAATTACGATCAGAAAATAGTAGATTACGCACGATGATGCCATCGGAGTGAACCTACTTGCCAAGAGGATCATCTTTGTTGCCTTGATCCTTGTCATATACTTCGACCTCCAAATTCTGTCCACCGCGTACATCCACTATAGTCTGCAAAATAAAAGTATATCGAAACCTCACTTCTGTGTGGAAATACGGACGTTTTCCTCCCAAGTAACAAATAATCTTTTATTCCTCATAATGAAAAAATAACGCGAACATTGAGGCATCTGGGGATACAAATGAGACATCTACCACTGCAAGTTAATTGATTTGAAATCCATGAAAACGAGAAAATAATTGACCGAGCAATGAATGATGTGGGGGACCGAGAACAGGCGCGGGAGTCGTCAGACCTGACCTTAGGATAGAACAGATACAACCTTGGGGAACTAGAAAATTCTGTTGCCAAATTTTTCCAGTTCATTACAATAGAAGTGCAGTTAATTTTCGGGAAGTAGGGTGAAAGCAAAGGAATTCAAAAGTATGAACCATGAAACCATAAGCGGCTGCGTTGAAAACAGATTGTTCGTTTTGATCATGTGAAACTTATGGGAATAACGATTCCGACTCGGCAGCCAAATCCACAACACCGAGCACCTTCAACTGATCTTTGTAGCGAGTTAACGTGGGGGCAGCAATTTGGAGATTTACTGCACAATGTTATGAGGTCATTATTTTAAGTGCTTTGTGATGTGATCGTTTCCTTTCAGATCTACAACTGAAGGTGGTGCAGATACAATATAACAATTTGAAAGATCAAATGAGTTACGCATAAAAAAGATCACAACTATGATTTGAAATCGAGTGATTAATGAACACCCTGAGTGAAAAGCTATACACAATGAAAAATCACTAGTTTAATACTTGAATATAAGTACTGAGTGAATAGAACGGGGTTCCTGGATTGTCTCTAACACGCAACTTCATTAGAGCTATGGGTTTAATCTGGATTTATCATGACAAATTAGTAGAACGTATCCTAAAAACCCCTGAACCGACGATTTTCCAGTTTTACCATTTGGGTTCGCTTCTCAATTTCGAATAGGGATTTTTCCACTGAAATGTAAACATGCATGCTAGAACAAGTAATCATAGTACAGAACCCCCCCCCCCACACACACACACAATAATTTCAATTCACCCAAATGCTCCGC